ATGGCAAGGCTGAACTGAGTTTCATTTTTCTTTTGAATATTATTAATTGCAATGTGTTGGCTGTTAATTTAATTAAATGTTTTGTTTTAATATAAGACCATTCTTCAGTTCACTGACTCACCGTTACATTTAATTAATTGCAAACCTCAAGATTTGATTACTCATAGTTCTCCTTTAGTTAATTTACTTGTTCACAGTTTTGACAGAAAGGCTTTCAAACTAATATGAAGGAGGAGCACAGTCTAACTAATTAGGGAGCTGAAAAATAGACCTAAAACCTTATGGCTTGAGCCTAAGATTAGCAGATACCCAGAGTTGTATCAAAATGCTTAGAATCATTGGGTTTACCATCAAGATCCAATTTCCAGTAGCTGGACATCAGTTAAACATGAAGGACTCACTTAAAAGAAAGATTCTGAGGTCCATCAGTGCAGGAGAGTGACTGAGTTTCAGTTTCTTGGTTCTCCAGGAAGGCATCTGCTGCTCAGTGAGTTGTGCTGTGCTCAGGGCCCCAGGCAGTGCCCTTCATCACCTGATGCTGGGAGCGGGGTGAGGTCAGCGCTGCCCATGATGGGGCTGGGGGGCTCTGCAAGGGGCCTTGCAGTTGTGATCTTGAAGCCATGCAGTATAACTGCGTTTTTGTTGAAATCATTCCTGAGACTTCATGGAGGAGTGAGCTTCAGTAGTATCTGCGTAGAGGGCACTCGAGTAAACAATTAACCACTGGTTTTAACGGTTTGCAGCCTAGAGATGCAGGCAGCTTTGTGTATATGATTCTCCAGTGCTCCAGGAGCCTGGGCTGGAGGAGCAGAGCACATGCCCTGTGAGTCTGGCCCTGTAGTGCACCTAGGTCAGTTACAGTGACAGCACCCCGTTAATAGCAGGTCTCTGCAGTGCTGCGGCCTGTGGTGCTGTGTACTCCTAGTTGGGGTTGAGAATTGTGATGCAAAAGCATTCTTCAATTGCGGCTCAGAATACAGCTGCAGAATCTGACTTCATTGCAACCTGAGTATAAACTATGTTGGCTTGCATGTCCTTGAAGGGTTATTTCAGGGCTAAATCTGTGTGTTGTGCTGCAGAGTTATGCAGACTTGTCAAAAGGAGAGTACACAGTGTCCTGACAAAACTGAAATTTCAGACTGAAAATTACTAATGGCAGTTGGCTGTTTTGCCATATGCACAATGCAGGTGTGCCTGAGCACACACCATCACAATCTGTTATGCACTTGTAATCAAGATTCATACCTAGAGAGCTGCCCAGAGCACAGCTCCGTGGTGCGCCCTTGGTGGTTGTGCCGCGGGGCCCACAGGAGCTGCTGTCCCTCGCCAGGGCAGGGTTTGGGAAGCAAAGTGCTGCAGCTGACCTGAGACTCAGGGTTTTCTTTGTTGTTAGTGTTGGAGAAGTTGCACGTATTTGGCAGTAAGTGGCACAGTTTATTTCCTGGATGCTTTGTGATTGAGCACAACTGGGCAAAGATGTCTAAAGGAAGAGAAATGTAAAGTGTAAAAGGGGAGAAAAAACTGGAAGCTTTGAAGTGTGTGATTCAGCTCCTTAGGCTTTCTCTGTGATCCTTTTTATTTGTTGAAAGTAGAAGGATGTCCACATTGCAGCAGTTTGCAAGTCCATTTTTCAATGTGAGGCACTCTGAAGTGTGTTTCTGCTGCTGCTAATTATTCATCCAAGAGGATGGAAATGATCTTCAGATAAGCCAGTTGAAAAATAGCCCTCCTTGCCACAGTGAGCTGGAGCTAAGACAGTTGCAGAAAGTTTTCTTAATAGTTAAATAGAAGTTTCAGTAATAGTAGCCTTGGCAGTAGTCTTAATTGGAGATTATGCCAGTGTTTGATTTGCCGCATGTTTGCTTCCATCCTTTCAGTCAGTACCGTGCCATTACTAATGAAACCATCTACTTCAGCCTCAGTTGTATTAGCTTTCAGAGTTATTGAATGATTATGCAGTGTTTTTGAAATATCTCATACAGTACAGTTCTGGAGCTTTTACTGCAGCACAGTTAGAGCAGGGATTAGTAGAGGCTGAAGAGCAGTGTAAAGGCTGCTGTTGCTGAGCTTAGAAAGAGTACTGGCATATCTGCCGTAACTGATCCGGACCACTCAGCATCCTCAGACTGTCATGCTATATACATTAGAACTGTGCTGTACTCTGTCAACTTTTAATGCTGAAGTAGAGCGACTTTGGTGTGGCAGATGGCACAGCATGGATTTCTGGTACATCATTGTTTTTTTGGCTTTTGTCCTCACGGCAGCTGTGTCTGGTTAGGGAGCTCAGAAGTGCCTGACAATAATTACTTTTAATTTCTGCAGGTGGCATTGTGGTGATTTGGAGACCTTTTATGCCTTTCTGTTTGTTCCTCAATCCCCTTTTCTGTCTTCATTATGCTTCCGATGCAACTGCTCAGAAGTATTTTTTATACAGACCCTGGCTAACTTCTCACCTTACTTTTTCACTGAAAATTTTGTTGAAGACCAAAATTCACTTTCTGTTGCTGCTTATGTGCTTCTGAATAGTTTATTTATTCATTTGTATATTTAAATTAAGCACAGCTTTGTAACCTGGTGTTTCAAGGACCTGCATAAATACTGACTCGGGTGAAAATACTTAACTGGACTGTGTGTTCATCCATATGTGCTTGGGTACATACAAGTGATAAAACATTGCATTTAAAAGAAGTGTGTTTGGACTTCATTTTGGTAACCTTTAAAGGAAATGCGGATTATTTGTAAGAGGGTTATTGAACAAAAAGAGAACAGGCTGTGAGTGAGTACTGTTCTGATCGTGATTTGGGGATGGCTGTACCTGAACACTTGGGATTGGTTGGGATGTGGAGCAAAAGTGCAAGTAGGAGCACAAATCGTGCAGGTTCCTGGAAACCCTGGAAGCAGTAAATTCCTCAGAAGATTTGTGATCATGAACTCAAACTTCCTGAAGACAATAGGAAGAACCATCCCGTTTCCTTTCACTAGGACAAGGTGGAGAAGTTTATAGACTTTCATCTTCTGAAAGTGCATGAACAGTTTCATCATTGAAGATGTATTATTTCTTTGATGGATTAAATGTGAGTGATGTCTGCCAGAGAATTTTAAAAGCAGAAGTTTAAACATCAGGGTTTGATTTTAACCTGATAAAAACCCTGTACCATTTGCAAAAGAACTTCAAAGGGTGTTTGAAAAATTCTGTTTTAAAATAAAAAATGAGTACTGTTAAGAAGTAAAGGCTGAAATTACCTGAGAAACAAAACAGTTGATGTTGTTTTCTGGACTCTGCTTTAGTGTATTTGTAGTTAGTATATATTAAAAATAAGATCAATATGGTTTTTCATGTAGCAGTGACAGAACAATAAAACAAATGCTGAGTTAGTGTAGGTGATACACATCAGACTTGGCATCAATGCTTTTGGATTATAGGACTGTGCAAATGTAGATAATTTTGGTGAATGCTGAAGGGCTTTTAGGTGGGATGGGAGTAGCAGAACAGAACTGGTTGACTTTTATTATTTCTTTCTCATAACCTATCATCTCCAACTTACTGCTTTTAATCAGGGATATCTTCCTGAAGTTAACAGGGTTGCTGTTTGTAGCTGTGTGTGATGGTAATACATACACCTCCCCCTTGCGTTTGGAGTCTCTTGATTGCTTGCTTACTTAACTCATATTAAAATAATGAGAACCTTTGTGAAGCCTGTTAGACGAGCAGCACAGCTAATCTAAATGTCAAATTCATAGTAGCTTTTAAAAGAAAATATTTTCATTTATGGATGTGCGGCAGTATGGGATATGAAAATTATTAGTTCACTTTAATCAGTGTCTAATGTCTCAGTAAGCAGTACTTTTTATACAGAGCAGATTATTTAATTCTGTTCTGAATTATCATGTGCTACCAACCAAAAAAAAGTTGTTTTTGGTGAATGCGAGTGTTTTTGTGGAACTAAATTACAAGATAGCTGATGTGAAGCATTCAGTGCGCTTTGTAGGAGATAACAAAAGCAACTCATAATTTGCTGAGAGGAAGGCACTATAGCTAGTTTTATCCATAACTGAATGAATCAATCATGATACCTGTAAGGATCTTCTTTGGTTACGGGTCCTCATCCCCCTCTATTTCCCATGTGAGATTTTCAATTACATCTTAGCCAGAGTAAAATTAATTTGATACTGTCCAGAAGAACATTTTATCTCATACTGAAAAATCCAAAACTATGAAACTTGAAAAGCTTACAGTCATGAATGAAAAACATAGGGAAATCTTCTCCTTTCCCTTTCCTTTTCCCTTTTAAGAAAAACGTGTAATGATGATGGTAGCTGGTAACCTGACCCTACTCCTTCTCTATTACTATTTTAAATTGATTCAGTTTAAGTCACTTGAGAATCTCCGATTTATTCTGTAAATGTGTAATGGTTTTAATATCTCATTGAAGTGAGGTTGAGTTTATAATTATATTGTACGTTTCTTGCATTTCCAATGTAGTATTTTCCAGTGGTAATAATATTCAAATCAAAAGACTTCAGAAAAGCAGTGTTTTTATATATATATCATAATAGCACAGCATTTATTTTTTCCACTTTAATTGGCTTCCGGCTGTTGAAATTAAGAAACACCACATTTTACACGTGTACTTGGAAATTTTGTAGCAGCCAAGTCAAACAGAAAGAGATCAAAGTGCCAAAGTGATCAAAGTGACAGGAAATGATATTTAGAAGTATAATGAAAAGGAATAACATGAGATAAATAGTTTTTTACATTATACATGTGCAAAAGGGACAAAAAACACAAACACTAGAAAGTACATTTTTAGAATGCAGTACTAGAATAACAGGACCTGAAGATAATGTTCCGAATGACGCTACATAACTGGGATAAGAATCTGTACTGAACTTACATGACTTGCTTATTCTCACTGAAAGGAATTGTCTTGATCTTCATATTTTTCAGTCCTGTGTTGTACCATGTGATGCTGCATTTTATTTATTTCTGTTCTTTCCAGGTTTGACAGCAGCAGCCATGGCAGAGGCTATGAAGTTACAGAAGATGAAACTTATGGCAATGAATAGCCTCCATGGAAGTGGAAGTCAAAATGGAACAGAATCAGAAAATGAAGAACTCAATTCTAATGCAGGTAAGTAATGCTGTGCACACGAGCTCTGAGGGAAAACCTTTTTCCCATTGAAAACAAAATCAAAATCTATCTCAAATTCTTATATTCTTTTATTTTGTAAGCTTTCCACTGCCAGTATTAAATAAAAATCATTGCACATATTCCTCCAGTTTTCCTCCTAACAGCCACCTTCAGCAAAAGTATTGAAGGATTGCTCTGTAAGGGTACATGCATTTAAAACTCTTCTCTAAATGTGTCTGTAGTAGCAGAGTATTTCTCTTTGGCACTAATATAGAGCATTTCTATAAATTATGGAAGGTGTCCAAAACATCAAGTTGTTGGAGCTCATTGTGAGTCACCACAGTTCGCTGGAGAAAGGTGAAGTAGTGAATGCTAAATTACCAGCTGTTGGGCTTTTTTCGTTTTGTTCTTCCCCTGTATGGATGTTTGCAAACCACTGTTATGAAGGAGTCATAATAAACCTTTGTTATGGCCTACCTGGTTGGAATAACATTGAGAATAAGGCACTGATGCTAAACACAAATTCATCTATACTATTATTAACCATTAGTATAGACTTGAACTATGTTCTCTGAATCCCAGCTCCACAAGAGTAAGGTTCAAAGACAGAAATTAATCCTCTGAAGAGAATATCTTCTTTGTTTATTTTTATTTGTTTTTCAGGTGAATAGATCTTAATCAAACAGTGTAGAGTACTTAGAATAAGGTAGACCCATTTTGTATCAGGAAGCTGCTTTATATCTATTATAATAAGGGCAGATTCATTTGAGTCAGTATTTTTAACACAAACAATCCTAAAATACGCTCTTTACGTTTTGGAAGCTTGCACTTCCTCTGTTTTCATTATCAGTTCAACAACAGAGGCATTTTCTGGTCCCTCATTGCTTTCAGATATCCACTGGCATTCACTTATGTGTGACATCACGTGTGTCTCTAAAGGCGAAGCCACTCTAGCAGTTTACTTGCTTGGATGGTGTATAGTGTATATGCATTGTGCCATCGAAATGGTAATTTATTAGACCAATAAAGCAGCAGCTGGGAGGTCTTAGACTCATTTTCTAAAGGAATAACTTTGAATTCATGACAAATTATGCACAAAGCAGTCTTTCCAAAAGTGATATTGCCTTTTGCTAATTTTGTGTACTCATCTGTATTGAAGAAATCTGGCTTCCAGTTCATGCATTGAACCCTTCCCCAGCTTTCTATTATGTAGAATACATATTTCTTATTCACCCCTCAGACCCTAATCAATTAGTGCATATTGAATTAAAAAAAAAAACAAACTGAAAAAGCATATTTAGTATGTGTTGTTCTTTGTATGTAGTTCAAAGTGAATTACTCAATTTCACTGAATGCTAATGTGAATAGAAGATAGAATTCTTACAGAAAAGCAGGGAAGCTTCAAGCAGAAAAGATGTGGGACTAGTATTATGGTTTTTAAAAGCTGCTGTAGCAAAGCGTGCTAACTTGAACATTCATGGTTTGGTGTGTTTTATGTTATGGCAAAATTTGTGTTCCTTTGTGGAGAATCTGCAGTACAGTAACAATATTATTTTAGGTACCTCATTGACAAATTTTATGGAGAATATCATACCAGCTTTTCTAAAATACATCAAGAGAATGCATATTAAACTGAAGTTCTCTGCAGTTTAGCAATTCCATGAGTTACAGAACTGACTCAGTACTAATTCAAGTATTTGGAAAAAGTCCCACTGACTTTAACTGAAGGTGCAGTGGGGCCCAAGGATAAAGAAGTGGTATCAGTTACACAGAGATCTTTTTCCAATTCTTTACCTTGTTCATTGCCACGTGCAGTAAAATTACCAAGAACGTTTTTTATGGATTGAGTGCCAACATCACTTGCAGGAGGAGAAATAAGTCCTTGACTGAAAGAACTACTGATACACTAATAATCATAATTTTCCTTTTTTTTAGTATTTACAATGCTAGCTGGATGTCAGATTGTTTGTAATGCAGTGTTTCTCCCTTTCTTTGGAGGGTCTTTTTTTTAAATAATAAAAAAAAAAGGTTTGCATTAAACAAATTCGGCAGACTGTGTAAAAAAAAAAAAATTCCAATGTAATTAATGTGCACTTTAATTAAAACTGTCTCAGCTGAGGGGTTATGAAATATTCACTGTAGAAAAGTCTTTGGAAAGTGATAGAGCCTCAAAAGAGTCACCATTTTGTTTGCAAGTTGATGCACACTTTCAAACATTGATTCATGTGAAGAGAGCACCGCTGCAATTTTGTGTGCATGAAAGCTTTCCCTAACATTGGTTTTGCTCTAGACTGTTACAGTTTAAATGACTGTTAAAAGCAATGGGGATGCAGAATGAGAAACAAAATTGAATTTTGAATTTTTTTTTTTACTAAGAAGTGGGAAAAAGAAATGGAGCAAAGGAGTCAGAAGCCTCATAAGTGAGTAAAACATTTTATTTTAGGAGAGAGACCTACAGTTTCTTTGATTTGAGGTTGTGTTTAATAGCTTTTGTAATGGCTGCAACATGACTCTGCATCTAGATTTCAGCATGAATAACAACCTGTTCGTGTTTCATTTAGCTCCAAATGAGAAATTCTGTCTTTTATTGTTTTAGGAAATTAGTCTGTGTACTCTTGCTCCTGGAACTTTATAATTAATCACTAAAGGTTATGGCTGTTGAGAGTTTGTGGGAAATAGATGTCTGAATGATTATAATTGTAGCTGTCAAATCAGAAATATAGTTGTACTGAGCAGAGGACCTTTTGTTTGCTTTGATTTTTTTTTCTCTTTACTGTAACACAGACTTGAAGAGTTGCAAGTTTACTTTAGAAAAACAGCTATAAAGATTTTTGTGTTTTATTGCCTTGGAGTTGCATGTTGACTTCCTTTGGAGAGTATAAGATTTAAAACCACTAAATATTTCAGTTTAGAATGTGTGTCTGCCTCTTATTTCCATAGCCTGATGAGTGGAGTGGTGTGTTTTGTTAGTATTTTGCACAAAAAATGTCATATGCCTTGAAAATTTACTGACTGACTTTTTCAGAAGTGAGCCATTATATGCAGGTCATTAGTGTAATAAAAAAGTGATGAGAACTTCTGTCATATCCATTTCAGTACCCATTTGTATCCCAAGTTAAAGCCAGAATGAAATCATTTTGGATGAGTTTCTTTAATAATGCCCAGAATTTCACTTAGGCAGTTTCACTGTCTGTGCATTATGTCCATATGATGATACAAACTTTGAAGATTTTGCATATATAAAGTCAGAATTCATGCCATCAGTTTACAGTCTGAACTCTAACTCAGGATATCTGTCTGTAATCCTTCAGCTGTTGCTCGAGTGTCCTCGAGTAGGTTACAGGCATGGAACTGAATTTTAGAAGAGTGCCTATGTGCAAATGTGCAGCAAATAATGTGCTGCTTTCTTGCTTCCAGTTTTTGCCATCAGGTCCTACCTCCTTCCTGCTATTGCATATTAGTCATGGTGGAGGCTGGAACTACAAATAACTGATAAAAAAAACCTCAGCAACTTGCTGCAAGAGACGAAGCTGAAGCTGTGGAAAAAATGTACCTCGAGAATAATAAATTGTACATTTGGTTTTATTTGAACTAATCCATTAGTTCACAGGGTTGTGAAGAATGTTGTTAGACATTTGAACATTAATATCTTCCTTCTCTCTGTAGAAGAGAGATTTTTTGCACCTTCCTACTCATCATATGAAGTGTTGAAACAAGCTCTTCAATCAGTAGAAGAATCTCATGCTATCCAGCACTGTATGTTCTCTGCTGTCCCACTGGTCTGTACAGTTCATTCTTTGGGGCTTTGTGTCCATCTTCATCTTCTCATAGGATTTGTGAAAGAAGTTTGAGTTGAGAGAACCCTGTAGTTCACTGAAGTCCCAAGAGATGAGCCATGCTGCTGGTGGCACTCTGTGCATGCCTGGGAATTGCCTTGAGTGCCAAGGATTGCCGCAGCCACAGCAAGTCACTGATATGTGTGCCAGTTGTTGGGCCTTCTGTATTCCTCTCAGTAGGAGCAAGATTCTGAGTCTGGCAGCTGGAGCCAGGTCTGGTGGATGTATCTGCAGAATGACTTGAGCCCGGCCACGTTGCCAGGTTTCTTGCTCTGTGGAAATAAGGTGAACAAACCTCTGCAGTTGCACAGAAGTGTTTTTAAAGATCATCTGTTCTGTCATTGTGAATACTAAGATTAGGTGAAGCGACTTCTGGAAATGAGCATATGATTATCTGGGAAATTTGAAATTTATTTGAAGTCATAGCTTTGTAATTTTTTTTTTAATTATTTTTGTAACACGATTCCAGGTAAATTATGAGAGTATGTGATAGAGAAGGAGTGTGGAAGATAGACTGCGAAGTAAAGTATTGGTGGGATTACCTTTAAGAATGCTGTGTTACACAGCTGCATAAACAAAGAAAGATCAGTGCATGGTAATCTGTGACAGTACCTGTTTGTACAGAACCTCAGTGCAGAGAATAAAGCAGTTATTTCCTTCTGTTGGCTTTTGGAGTTAACATGCATGATTTAATAAATGTGTTTTGCTTTCCCAAGAGAGATATCAAACAGTACTAAGTGTTTCAGTGGTATTTCCTTAGGAAGTCAAAATGTTATTCTGTACGTAGAGTCTTGTTGCTTAATTTTCAAACAAGGAGCTAAGTTAGGCAGAAAAGAAAGGAAAAACACCCTGGCTTTTGGCATATGAGGATCAGAGGAAAAACTCTTTGTAGGAGAAAAAAAACCACAGTGTTATCTTTTTATCCTTTTTTCCTTTCAGTACCTGCCATGCAGTTTTCTCATAAATGCAAACATCCTTCACAATCTGTTTAAAAAACCACAAATACATCACTCAGAGGAATATTTAAGGAACCATCAGGAGGGAAAAAACTCATTGGTTTAATGGAATGCTGTCAAGGAAAATCAGCATCACAAACGACACAGGGGCAGAATTGATACTTTTGCACTGACATGTTAAAAGAAAATCCCATGCATTATTTAGAAA